TCCACCACGTAGGCGCGCGTGTAGGCCCCTGAGAGACTACGCCGTGGTGTTGAAGCGATCCATCGCAAGCCTGATGCAAGGCAGTGGAGCTGTCCTAGGCCCAAGACCTTGAGGTAGACGAAAAACATTAATAATGATTCATTTTGAGATTAAGTCGGTTTCATTTTATCTTTTCTATGTCAAATAATCGATGACTTGTAGGTGATCCCTGGTGGTGCCGATCCCACTCCGTGTCTTTGGGAGATGATCGTGACGGTGGTTGTCCAACGACTTTCTTTGAGAACCACACGAGGCAACGGGACGACAGTCTGGCTGAGGTGAGGTGCTACTCACCATCAAGGCGACCATGACCTCCTCGCCTACAAACAAGCATATGTAAGTGATTTCTTTTATCTTATTTGACGCTGAGTTCGCCTTATTTCTCACCATCTTGCGTCTTACTCGCAGGAGGCTGCACACCCGGGCGTGGAGGTCTCGGAGTTCCCTGCGTGGGCTATGTCCCACATGGGCAGGGCGTCTTCGTCTATCTCCTTCAACCCGTCTGCCCCGTACGAGGTGTACTCCGACCCGACCATGCACACTAAGGTCCAAGAGTACACCTCAAAGGTGAGGGAGGTCCATGGGGAAGATTACGATGTGCGCACTGAGCCCATTGATGCAGAGACCATCATGAGGCTAGGAGGAGGCAAGAAGCATGGGCGGCTATGGATTGCAGACGGCGCCATCAACTCCACCACTATTCCCTCTCTCGACGTGCTCCGAGCACGGAGCACGAGCTCTAGCCAGCCCATACGCCCATGGTCTACTCCGTCACTGCAGTGGGTCGACGCTCTCGAGGTACGTCCTATTTTACTCGTCGTACGTTCATCTTTGCACACCTAAGTTACATTTGCATTACTGAAACATTGAAGTTTGTATTGCAGGCCGAGCTGCAGCCCAAAAGCTCGTGGTCGAGGCTCAGAGCGCGCAGCTGCAGGCCCAGAGGGAAGTGTTCGTGGCCCAGGAGAGGAGGATGCAAGAAATGGAGGCCTTCATGCGAAGTGTCCATCAAGGGGGTGTACCTTTGCCGTTGGCAGCTCCTCCACCGCCTACTTCTACAGCCACTCCTGTAAGTATGAAAGTTCACTCTTACTAGATGCTTCCTTGACATACAACCATGCTTGACATAGAAACTTACTAGATGCTTGACATGGAAACTTACTACATGCTTGCACTAGCTATGACATACACCAATGTTTCACATAGAAACTTACTAGATGAATCTCACACATGCAACCTCTTATCCTTTTTGCAGCTTCCATCGGTGGGTTCGAATAACCCCGCTCATGCGTCACCGAATGATGGAGACTTTGCTTCACCATCGTGTCATAGGCTGCTTTTTTGAGGAGTTGTGCTTCGTCATGTGCTTGGACTTGAGCTTCACTTGTGGTTGTGACTTGTGCTTGGACTTGATGGACTGTGGTTGTGAATTTGTGACTTATGGTTGTGATATTTGACTTGTGGTTGCGATATGTTGTTATTTGAGTTGTGGTTGTGATATAATGTGTGAAAATGGTTTCGTTGTGATATATATGTGATTATTGTGATGTTTGTGATATATATGTGACATGTGATATATATTTCAACTGTTTGTGTCAGTGGAATGCAAAAAACAAAAAAAAATTGTAATTTCAGTTGATTTGCCGAGTGCAATGGTGATGGCACTCGGCAAAGCTGGGAAACTTTGCCGAGTGCCAGGACATTGCACTCGGCAAAGATTTTTTTTTTAAAAAGTAAAAAATCTTTGCCGAGTGCCAAGCTGGGGAGGCACTCGGCAAAGAGCTTTTTAAAAAAAATTAAAAAATGGCTTTGCCGAGTGCTCGCCGGCGTGGCACTCGACAAAGAGTTTTTGAAAAAAAATAAAAAATGTCTTTGCCGAGTGCCCTAACTGTCGGCACTCGACAAAGGCGCCATCAGGGGAGCAGCGCCGTTGACGGCTGCTTTTCTTTGCCGAGTGTCGCCGTTGGCACTCAGAAAAGGCTTTGCCGAGTGCCCGACAAATGGCCCTCGGCAAAAGCCTCTTTGCCGTTAAATTTTTTTCCAAGGGCCCTTTGCCGAGGGCTTTTGGGCCTTTGCCAAGTGGCCTGGGCCCTCGGCAAAGAGGGCGCCTCCAGTAGTGCCTGGAAGACATGAATCTCAGAAAAATTATTCAACAACCGCGTCATGTGTTCTCATTCACCATGGAATCAAATTCTATAATAGGTCTGGATGTGCTCTACTCGCATTCATATGTATAGACAAATTAAAGGACGCTTGAAGATTTATCCAATGATCGGGTCATGCATTTCAATTTATCTTGGGATCGAACTCACCACCGTGTCTTTACACACTACTCTTACTCATGAAAGTATGGAGAGAGCAAATGATAAACTTGATACCTTAATATTAGTATATACTACTATTTTCAAAAGTGCTCGTGCTTTGCACCGAACAAATACGTCTTGGAATTGGACTCTTTCTTATCGCTGGGCGGAGTTGTTCTAACTCGTATTAGCATGACTTATGAATCCGAGTGACAGATACATTAAGTGCGAGGTCAGTTTTCTAATTGGGAAGTAAAAAGTAGGTTCAAAGAAATGTATCGCCCTTTAATATTATATATAGCAAAAACATGCTTGCGTTGCAATGAGATATATAATTTATTATGCGGTACTCATGTCAATAATAATGAGCTAGTTATTTTTGTTGTTTTTTTGTTTGAACTTGGCATAACCTTAAATAAATAATTTTCATATCGTATGTATCATTTGACAGGAGGAAGCTTTTAGTGAGGGAGGACACCAATACGCAACCGGATTGTTTACATTAACCCTACTCTCCAAATTAGATTTAAATCAAGTAAAAATTGTTTGAAATCGAGATGAAATTAATGGATTTGACTTCATTCAGTCCCATGTGATTTTTTATTGAGAAATTCATACGGGTCTACGTGCAATTCACACTTGATGTGGAACTCATGCATGGATGGGTAAAACTGGAGAAGGTTTTGCTATTGCCACCGCAGCGCTATGGCTATCCGTGTCTTAATGACCCTTTCATTGAGCTAAAGCAACCTGAGGTCAGCGAACGTTAACTCAGGATCCCACACGGCATACGTAGTGTTCATCATTTCCCATTCCCATCCTGGAGTGAAGCATGGGATGTGCAAAACCAAAGCTCCACTACATGTCTACATGTATTGTAGATTTGTCGGTGTGCTGGACGGCGTCATCGAGCCGAACGGTCCAGAAACCCACTGTAGCGCAGAGTGCGGACGCTGGGCACGTCGAGATCCACGCATCGGCTCAGGAGCCGTGGCAGCACATCAACATCATGGAGGCCGTGGGAAAAGGATTCGTCGCTGCTTCGACATCATAGTGACCCGTTCGTGTCCAAGCACTTTCAACTTAAAGGCAGTGCACTCAAGCCATAGCGTAGCGCCTTAGCGTGGTTCGGCGTGGCGTCGAGCATGGACCGGAGGTCCCAGGGAAGTGTTGAACTCCACCATCCTCAACGTCTCAAGGAGGATGAAGATATATGGTGGTGCCTGGCTGCCAAAGCATGCAGCCGCTGAATTCCAGGCTTCGCCAAGCAGCGGAGAGCAGCATGTACTCGTCGCCTGTCTTGCAGAAACTTGAGCAGCATGTACTCGTCGCCTGTCTTGCAGAAACTTGGCTTTCTCTAGCAGTCCAGCGTTGCATTGCCAGCGACGTGAGAAGGGTATCCATGCCGGGCGACCGCGCATCGGCCGTCTACACCGACAGCCGCTAGAGCGTTTTCAAGCCCTGGTAGCACCTCATATCGAGAATAACGCCACAGCGCAGAAATGCGAAACCACAACAGGTTGGACGCCCTCCCCTTTAGCCTGTTCGGCAGGATTGAAAAATAAGCTAAAATACTGTTCCGGCTGATTGGTGTGAGGGAGAAAGACTGTTTCGGCTCTATCTCTGAGAGCGCTGGCCAGCCCAGCCGAACGCGCGCTCTATCTCCCAGCGTCCATTTCGCATTAAGATTCGTGCCGGAGTGCTTCAAAATCCGTGCGCCAGTGCTTTGTTTGACCTGCACGAATCACGGAACAAACTGAGCCGTAGGACAAGGGGTGTGCACCCACCGCATTGTGGAAATTGCAAGTTGCGCCACAGCGTACGTGCGTCACCGCTTCGGCGTCCCTGAGGTTGAGAGACGAGACGACACGTGCCAGCACGATGTCCAGGAGGGCGGACACGCGGTCTAGTGCCATGGCTGCTGTCTCTGATGCCATGCTGCAATATCAAGATCTTCATCCTCAGCACCTGCACGAGGCCGACACACGAAGAGCCTTGATGGAACAGATCAGAAGATACACATACTTTTAATATTTATGGGGACGGGAAGTTAAAAACGAACCGTGGAAGAGTCCCAATCTGGATGAAAATCAAAATTGAACTCACGGTCGGAAATCAGAATAGAAAGAAATAGATGCAAACCAAAATTGGAAAATCAGAAAGAAGCTCAAACTAAAACCGGACTCCAGACACGGGGTAAACGGACGTGTACCAAAACTGGCTTAAAGATCGAAAAGAAAATTGGAAAGAAATCAAATCAGGACGTTCACTTTGTTAGTTAGGAGAGGCTGACAAAAAAAATAGATTTAGATTAGAATTAGCATTCCTATTCATGTTACTCAGGATCGACGGATCTATTTGTATTAGAATTCGTATTTATCCAAGTTGCCACGGAAGGTCCTCCATATATCATATATAAAATATATAGGAGGGCGGCAGGCAGACGAACATAGACAACTTCTATATTCACAGAGTTAGTTACGGAGTGTGCACAAAAAAAATGATCTAAAATTTTGTCATTTTATTATTAGTAGTCATAGTATAGATATAGAATAGATATATATAGATTACATAGAGGAATTAACTACGCGCACGACCCAAGTAAACACTACAGCAGGCACCTTAATTGAATTGAACTAGCAAATCAATGCGACCGCCCTATCCCAGCTGATGCCACGGCGCCGCCACCGCCGCCGGCGTAGCAGAGGTCTGAGGTTTGTTGGCTTGGAGCTGCACGCTCTCCCTGAGGCGCTGGAGCTGCGAAGTGAAGACCGGCAGCTCGGCATCGCCAAGCACCCCGACGTCCACTTCCCACCAGAACCGCCTCCCGGACACCTCCACGGCCTGCAGCACCTTCTCCCCGATGGCGTCGTTCCGCGCCTTCTCCGCCTCCACGAGCGCCCTGGTCTGCTCCGTCTCCCGCGCTCTCGCCTCCATAACGGCACGCTCGGCGGCGACGGCGCCCACGTCCTCGACCGCGGTGAGGCCCTCGCCGGCGTGGAGCAGGGTACAGCGGCGGAGGACGTGGTCGACGGAGGGGGTGCCCATCGCGAAGGCAATGCCGCCGTCGTCGCGTTTGCCGCGGCGCGCGACGGGCACCTCCTTTCCCTCGGGCTCCGTTCTCTTGAAGACGATGATGGCGACATGGGCGCCGCAGAGGAGGTGGAGCTCCGAGGCCTTCTTTAGGAGCCCGCCCTTGCGCTTGCACTGGGTGACCTGGCGGCTCTCCTTCTTCTCGATGCGGCGGATCTCAATTTTCTGGCGCCCCCTGCTCGTTTTCTTGCCCGGCTTCACCATTATCCTTGCCGGCGGCCTCTGCTATCTCAGCTCGCTCGCTCGAAGCCCGCCTCCAACACGAACGCGATGGATGCCATGGGCAAGAGGGAGGCCGGGTGTATAAGTAGAGGCAGACATTACCAAAAAATGAAAAGTTCGCGTCTGGCACGGTCAGTGGGAGGCCGAAAACGAAGCGGGTTGTGCTTTCACAATTTGGAAAGACACAGTCCTCGAGAGATCGTCCGTATCAACCAGCTGTCGTAATTAATGGATGAAAGATACAGTTTCCAAAACGTTTCTTGGTCACGCAGGTTCCCTTGCAACAGAACATCGGTCAGGATCAGGCAAGGAAACCATGAGTAACGACTGTCGACAGGCAAGGAAACCATGCAAGGAAACCGTGAGTCCACAACCACAATCATGTCTTTGGAAATGTTTCTCAAATCCATGTACTCCGCAAAAACTGATATAATTATATGATTTATAGGGGGGGAAAACATCGGCAGAGCTGTACAGAGAGTCTTGGCTGCACAGAGACCACATATACGGACCACGTTGCAACCATGAACCATCTTCCCTTGCCACCCTCGTGTCCCAAGCCCCCACATTAGTCTAAAACAACACTTTGCACACATGAAAATCGCTTCTCAAGAAACTTGATTGTGACTCCCAAACCCAGCGAACAAATCCTCAACTCATTGCTCCGGGAATTCATACTGCACAGCAAGAGACGTACATCAGGGGGCAAAGGCATTAAATAATTCAGGAATCTGGTGGAAAAGGGAATATTTCAAGTCCAAACATTATAGAAACTAAATGTTCTTGACTAAGGGAGCATATGATTGTGATGATATCAAGCGAACCACAACTAACCTAAAAGCATCCTGGACTCTGGAGCTCAATGGTGTGAAAGATGAGCCCCATCCTGGGCGCTGCATGTGAATAGCAGTTCTGTATTTGTAACATGGAAACAGACGAGGCCCATCCTGGGCTGCATGTGAATAGCAGTCCTGTAACATGGAATCAAAATTGCATTCAGTTTTTTTTATTTACCATACATAGGGATCGCCATTTATGAACTGTACAAGACAATGCTTTTAATAGTCAAAGAAACATCAAGGTACCTCACATGACATATGAATGTACTGGTGATTCTTGTTAGACTTGCCAGCCATCAAATCAGCTGTCTTTCAACACTACAAAGGAACTCAAGATTCATGAACCATTGGTAAGCCGATCACAACTGAAATGTACCCAACTCCTGGCCATGCCTCATAAGTTTGATAGTCTTTCCACCAACCCAGTGAAGGCGGTATGAGAGGTCAAGATTATGAAGCAATAACTTCAGATTATCCGCCTCGCCTAGTTCCTTTGTCTTCTTCTGAGGAGTCCAGAAGGCCAGGAACTGTATTAGTTTACTAATATAATATGGCAGAGCAACAATAATAGGGGTATTATTTGGAAAGCAAAGGTGATAACTACATATAAATGCGTAACTGTAGTTTCTTAACTATTAAAGCAAACAAACCAGTAGACAACAAATGATTTAATAAGAAAACATTAGCTTCAAAAGACCAAATGGAAGAGAGAAACTACGTAAACAAATCTACTTTATCTTTCCAATTCGCTTGCTTTCTGGAGCAAAATAGGCTGTTTAGGATAAAATGGATGCATGGTATTGCCAGTTGCTTTCCCAGTAGTTTCCTTTTTGCCATCTAAAGTAGGCAAACCAAACCACTCTTAAGACAAAATTTATTGCCCTGTTCGCTGCAGCTGCTGCTGTCAGCACAGTATTGTGTGAAATGAAGTTGTAACCGCAGCTGCAGCAGCAGCCACAAAAAATGCCTGCCGAACAGGCATGTTTGGATGCGGCCCTGGCCTGGGAGCGCCCGCCAGGCATGTGCATACAACCCCAGGCACCCAAAATTGAACGCTTGGGAGTGATGCCTGGTGCAGGCAGCTTTCGCACGCTGCCATCCAAACAGTTGCCCCAATGCATAAGTGAAACTGGACAGAAACTGTAGTCCATGGACTAATAAAACTAACAGGACTCATAAGATGCAAAAAAAAAACAATAAAAATGTCTTATACAATATAATATCAGAGAAGGAAAATAATAACAATATACCTCTGACCTTCCATGTTTATCATGTCCTAAAATGCTAGAAATTATACTTAAGCGAGCAGAGTTAGGTGAAAATCCTTCCCATGGAGGAACATAGATAAGCTTTGTGCATTGAATAGCAGTAAGGCTTCTGCTCAGCCTCTCCCACCAGGCACTACCTAATGACCACCATCTTATCATCAATCCGTTCTCAGAGAAGGCAACCAGACCCTAGAAAAAAAATTAAAAGGGTCAGATCAGAAGCTTCAGTTGATAATAAATAGAATTATGTTTTGCAACCACAATCATGGGTAAATACAATGAGCAAGAGGATAGACATAAATCACGAATAATATCTATAAGTTGCACATCTTTCTAGCAGCTGGCCATCTTAGCTCATTAGCTCTACTTAAGACATCCTTTAACTTATCTTATCAGGGGGAGATCCATATACAAAAGGGGAGGCCACAGTAACGTACACAACAAATACAAGTTTAATAGATGAAATCAAATGTACAACAAGGACAAAATGGAAATGCAATAAAACAGTAACAAGTGTGAGGTTGTTACTTGGTACTACTTCTGATCCAAGCGTTTTGAGTTTGCTGGGTTTGAAACACAAATTCATTTCTAGTTCTTATGGTAAAACATGGTGACGTGAGAAGAGAGACAAGAGAATGATGATATTGAATTAATTTAAATGGCAACCATACTAAAGCAATATGCAGCATCCATCATGTAAATAAGTACCTCAAACATCTGTGTTAGTGTTCACAGTTTACAAAAGTAGGCTACATGGGAACCACAATAAAAGTGTTTGAGAAAAAAAAAAGGGGGGGGGACACAAAATGGCATACATGCATGTACTGGTATTAGGGATCGTTCAAATGTAAGTGCCCACAAAAATGATACTAAACAATAACTATAGCATGCGATTTTTCAAATAACTTTGATGCAAACAATAAATCAGAACAAGTTGATAACATCTTATAATACTTGTTTAAAGCATTCTATAGTATATTTGTAGTGTCAAACCTCTCCATCCGGTGAGAAACTCAGAACTGATATCAGTATGGTTGCTGTTGTATTTGATGATCCTGCAAGTAAGCTTGGAAGACCTGGTGGTCCACTTGCATCAAGAATTCTTATCTTTGTGACACTACAAAGACAAAATGAAAAATAAGAAAAACAATAAGTAAAATCAACCTGCTACACTTAAAGATTTTACAAAAAGCATTACTGTTATCAGATGAGTGATAATTTTATACTATATAAGAAAACATCAATTTCACAACACGAAATGCTTTGGAGAAAAGTGATCATCATAAACAACAAAAAAGCTTTTTCCACTCAAGCAAGGTTTTTTTCCCTCGGACACGCAGGAGAACTGTGTGTCATCATTGCATTAAGAGAAATAGAGTTTGTTACAGAAACAGGTTAGTCTTTGGGTTACATCCGCGCCTTCTGAAAATATAGACAACCACAGCCTGAGAACTACCCAACTAGCTTCAAGGAACATCAGTCCTTTGGCGCTAGCAAAACACTACTGATGCATCTCCTCTGCTAGTATCTGAAAGAGACATCGCACCAAAGGGGAGCTGTTCCTGAAATCAATCTCATTTCTTTCTTTCCAGTTCCAGAGCATCCAAGCACCAAGTATGACCAAAGTGTTGAGCCCTTTTCGAAGCTCAGTGCCGACCCTGCATCTCATCCACTACATCAAACCACAAACACCTTATCACTTGTCTCCCATACAAGTTGGAGTAGGCTAGAGAACAAACGAACAAGAGTTACCAAAGAAGAAGGTTCTGTGTTGAATAATCTGCTGCTCTCATATCAGGCCTTGTCATAGGAGCATTGTAATAGTGACTGCTCCCTCCCTTTCCTTGTCAATAGGACAGCAAGTTGGAGTATGGCTAAAGTGTCATATAGTAAGTAGTATGGTTATAGTGCCAAATGGTGGGCAGCATGGCCCGTGTTGACTTTTGTATGTTTTAGCTTCTATATGAAGGAAGTGGCTAGCTGCAGCCATCAGTTCAGCAGCCCATTCACTTGTGCGTGCTTGCTCTGTTCTCAACTCCCTCTCTTCTACCTCCAGCCCAACTCAGTGTGTGTGTGCCTGAGCTGTGAGCTGCTGCTCACCTGTGCAGCGAAGCCGGCAGCCAGCATTTTTTTTTATTTTATTGAACACGCAGGAGAGCTGCATATCTTGTATTAACAGAAGAAGAGAGAGTCATATATACACCCAGGCCCACACACACAAACACCCACTACTACAAGGAAACTAAATCGCCGGTTTAAAAATAAAAGAGTTAAATACATTGGCGGTCCTTAAACTTGTAGTGTTGTGCCATTTAGGTCCACGAACTCTCAAACTCGAAATTCGACCCTCTAAACTTGTCAAGTGGTACACCATAGATCCATATCCCTTTGGCAGGCGCTGACTAGGATAATTTTTTACAAAAAGCACCCTGCATGTCCACCACGCACCCTCGCTCGCTCAACGTCTCCAGCAGCCAGACCAGCCCGCCGTGCACGGTGCACCAGCCGCTCGATGGTGCCCGCCGAGAACCGGAGGAACCACACCGAGTGCACCTCCGCGCTGGCGGCCTTCCGCTGCGCGCGGCACGAGTCACCATCGGAGCTGAAGATGTCGTCCCCGAGTAGCTCTGCGAATAGCTTCCCTTGTTCTGTGCTTCATCCGCGACCCCGTGTCCGGCGAGCGCGCGTGCGCAGGCCGCGAGCCCTCCTAGGCTGGCGCCTGCAGGGGCGGACGAGCGCGACCGTTTCCGGAGCCGGTCCGTGCACTGCGGGTACCGCTCCCTCTCCCCATTCTGCGGCCGCCGTGTGCGCGTCCTCGTGCGACATGACCAGGATGTCGAGGCCGCCGACGGCGTCCCAGAGCTCGTGCGCGGCC